ACAACGCACGCAAGACACGCTTTTCCCTGCTTTGACGAGCCAAGCTTCAAGGCAACATATGACATCAGAATTCTGAGGCCGGCGGAATATACTTGCTTGAGCAATATGCCGCTAAACAAGAGCATACCATAGTAAGTGTTTAAAATAAATTCTTCAGTTACATTCGCATCTACTATTATATAAACATGCCATCCATAAATTTAGTCGAACGCGTTTAATTTACGATTTTTTCTTTTTTTCTAACTTAAAAGAAAATTTTGATTCATTATGATCTCGTTGAAATAGAAAGAAAAGTTTTATTAAAACTTTTACGGCAAAAAGTGCAAAAATCCATTGCTATGAATATTAATGTAATTAATTATATAAATCTATAACACATTTCAAACATCCATTTCTATTAATTTTGAATAAGTCCTTGTTATCGTGAGATCACAAGTAAATAATAATAATTATGTTAAAATTTAACTTTACTTCCTATAATCATAGGAATGAAATCAAGTGAAGAAACATTAATTTGAATTCAAAAGTCAAAATTGATGAATTTAATATTTAAATAATGTACTCGGTCAAGTTTCACTCAACATTCTCGTGCTCGTTGTTACTTCATTCGTTCACTTAACCCTCGTTAAAAAAAAAAAGAAATGAAAGTATATAATTTGTTTTCTTATTATCTAAAAGTTGTTTTCCGTATCGAATTCCTTTATTTCCGTACTTCTTTCGTAAAAATACCCTCATATATACGTTTAGTGTTAAAATATAATTACGGACACCTATAATTTTTTTTTTCTTTTTCAATTTTAACGAACATTGTCATCCAGTGACAATAATTTAAAAGGAGTAATTCGAGGAAAAAATAAAATTTTGTACAGTATCGAAAAATGGCATTACTTACAGTATGGACAAATACTGGGACGAATTCAAGCACAGCATCCCCATGTCGACCTACCTGGTAGCTTTCATCATCTCGGATTTCAATTACACGAACGATTATGAGAACAATTTTAAAGTTTGGTCCAAACCGAACGCTGTCGATCAGACGAAATTCGCTTTGAACATCGGCACGAAGGGGCTCGTTTATCTTTCCAAACGGTTCGAACAGGATTATCAATTACCCAAGATGGACATGGTGGCTGTGCCTGATTTCTCAGCCGGCGCGATGGAGAATTGGGGCCTGGTCACTTATCGCGAGTCCAGGCTGTTGTACGACGAGGAATCGACGTCCGACGCCGCGAAACAAAGCATCGCCTCCGTCATCATTCACGAGTTGACGCACATGTGGTTCGGCAACATGATCACGCCAGAATGGTGGGGTTATCTGTGGTTGAGCGAAGGATTTGCAAGGTATTTCCAATACTTTGCCACCGCTCAGGTAATTGCAATAGTTATTTTCTCTGACAGTCAGGCAGGAAATGAAACCTTGGAATTATAGACTTAGATTTCAAACAGTTAGTAAGTGAAATTGATGAACTTTTCTAACTCTGTTGTGCTTAGAGATCGCGTGTATTCTGAAACTATTAAAAAATTTAATACACGTGTTCTTAATACATTATTGTATATCTTCTTTAATGTAACGGACGATTTTTAATAGAGATTTCACTACATGAGATTTTTAAATGTTTTGCTTTCACTGAATATTTCTCTTCATGAGCAGATCCACGAGGATCTTGTAAATCGAAATTTCCTCTTTACGATGACCTCTTGAAACTTACTGCATGATTCTTTACTACCATTTTATTGAACTTTGAACATTAGGCTTAAACGTT